CCCCAAAACCCCAAAACCCCAAAACCCCAATTATTTATAACATTTGAAAAAATATAGAAAAATAATTCAATGAAATATGAAATTTTATTAGGTAATTAATAAATTTGAGAACAAAAGCATGAATTATCTAAAATCCAAAGATTAAATGGTATTTTGAACTATGTTCAAATAAAATAGACTCATCATCACTTAAATGGGTCTTAAGGTTATTGGCCGGTAATGATTTGTAGCTCGAACATAATCTCTTGTATTTTTTTATTCTAAAACTTCATTAAATATGTTTGGATTTAACTAATAAGAGACTCATCTCTTTCCATGCTTATTCTTTCGCATAAATCGTTGCATTCATGATTTTGAATCCAATTTATTTTTCCCTGTTTACCTAAATCACCCTTTCCAAGTAATCCTTTATTATCAGAAAATACAACAGGATCAGTCATTACATATTGGCCTACTTCAACTTTCCAACCCTGTATATCAGTAATGAGTATGAGTCCTCCAGTAACCATGTAAGTCCAATGACTAAATGTATGAGGCAACCTAACAGGACCGAAATGAGGATGTGATTTAACTATTGAAAATTTATCTCCAATCGGTCTATTAAAGCTCTCAAATTTAATATATTTAGTAGATTCTTAGTAATCCTCCAATTCAAATACAAATCTATGTGCTTGATTATACATAGGAATAGCTAGATGAGGTTTTACATATTTGAGAAATATGTCTTCACCTGAAAATTATTATTTCAATAGTATGTTGAATGCATTTGCTAATGTTACAGCTACTTATTACTTAGCAATATCGTAGGGAACTTCGATTATATCCTTGTATTCTTTGACTTTTTTAATTACCCAATTTTTATTTGGCTCAATGAACTACTCTTTTAGCACAATAAACCCGTTGGGCAATTATACTTATTCAAAGTCTCTCCTTTGAAGTGCCAAATAAACTTCATGAAAATTCCCTTCGTCTAGAATCTCTCTATTTGTGTACAATTCCAATTCCTTCAATTTCTTGAATTCAAACGTATCTTAAGTCATCTCATAAATCTCATACCATCTGTAGTCATGATCCTTTCTAAGTTATATTGACAAAAGAGTCATTGGATCATCGGCAAATATTCTTCTGAAAACCTCCATCACGTAATTGACATACTAAAACCATTCAGTTCTATTTCCTTTATAAGCATGCCTTATTCTTGAAATAAGCATCATTTTATTGATGAATTCGATATTATTGTAGCACTCCTAGCACATTATAAACTAGCATTCTTTCTGTGTTTCATACTTTGAGCAAGAGTAGTAAACCTAATAATCTTTGCTCAAGCATGTTTTGCAAATTGTATAACTTTTTATGCTTGGTTCAATGGGTTCCTTGAATTAAAAAATCTAATTCAAGCAAAAGCATGGAACTGCACCCATAGGGATTTAAGGTCTAACTCTATCTCTGTCTTTGCTATTTATTTGTGCACTAGCAGAGGCTAGCGTTCTTACATTATCACTTTCAAGCTAAAATAATTGTAAATTGATCTTATATCATGGAGAAATAATCAAAACCAAATTTCAATTTTTATTTTTTAATCACTTACTTTCAATAAGAATTTACCTCTTGGATCAAAGTCCGTATTGTATTGCTACCCAATTTTATATGCCCAGTCTCCTGAAATTAGGTCTTTATATTCCTGGATTCCAATAAGTCTTAAACTCTATTATGCTTTTTAGCAGTCTAACATAATATCAAAACTCCCATCTTTCTATGTTCCTTCTAACTTGAATGACAAATCCTTCCCCATTGTTCCGGTTCCGGTAACTTTGTTACCTTTTATCGAAAATTAGCTTAGTTTAATCAGACTTTGTAATTATCCATCTTCTCCAAATATTCTTTCTATTACATATTTTTTGTTGGCTGAACTTTCCATGTGTTTAACTATTGATCAATAAATTAAGATTATATTTAATAAAAATCTGCTCGAAATTCAATTTATATTCGAATCGAGGGGTTTTGGGGTTTTGGGG